TTTAGTAGTAGTAGTAATAGTAGTAGTAGCAGATGATGTTCAAAACACGCTTGCGTTATTAAAGCAGCGCAAGCTTATAAGATATCAAACTTACTGTCTTCTCTTCTGGGTCCCTCTCCATCAAATTACGCAGGGCGTCATTCATCTTCCTGGTCTGTTCCAGTCGGTTGCGCATATCACGAATCTGTTCTTCTTTAGCCTCAATTACTTCATCCTTCTCTTCCAGCTGTAAAAATGTTGAAACAGAGAGAAAAGGATTGTCATAAAAAGTCAAGAGAATAGAAGCATAAAAGAAATGCGAAGAATAACGCATGAAAATGTCTTTAATTAAAGTCTATAAACTATAACATACTTGCTATATGCTATGAGGGACTAGATGAGGTAAGAAGGCAAATATAAAAGCATTATGATATTCTGGAAGCATGTGCACATGCAGGTAAAAACAAATTGAATGCATTATTTTGCAAAAGGCAGCTTTGAAGTAGACGCTTGATTTTAAATTGAGCTTTTTTTTAGATAGCAAAAGAAAGAGGTATATGAAAATACTTGACACGAGAATGTCAAGAACCGCATTCAGCCTATTTTGTTTAAAGTGATGAAGGATTGGTCGTTCAATTCTCCCACAATCATATGAGTAGGCGTCATTAAATTTCACACAGCCTAACTCCGTAAAAGTTACTTTCATTCAGTCTAGACTGGACTGCAATTTCGACCTTGTCTCAACTTTCAGTGGGACTCAAATCCAGTTTTGGGTAGTGCAGCGTGTAATCTTGACACATTGACCACTACTGCAAAGACTGCCTAGAGTGCTTTTGAGTTACAGGTCAGGAATGAGTTTCAAGGAAGCTTAGGCCCTTCTCATATCTCATTTCTTTGGTAAGAATAGCATTGTTGTGCTTACTTCCATTTCGAGTGACAGTGTTTTGTTAAGTGTTTCGTAGGTCGATTCCACTAGAAAATGACTAACCAAATCACTTTATACCCGAGTAGAGTATATATATACAGCTTTTTAAGGATTTGCCCGTGAGTTTTCATGACTCGTTAGCTTGAATTTGGTTGTGATGATGACACCTTGCTCTGATGATGTTCGTCATATGACCGACAAAAGCAATGTACCTTTTAAACGGAATCAAATGAGATTGCCTCGGAAACAGCGTCAACATGATTGCTCCAGTAAAGTCAATCGACAGCTGGTCAAGAGGAATCCGCCGTCGTCTTCTGGTGCAATTGACCTTCGAATCTCTTTGCCAAAACACTTTCACTCGAAATTAGAAGTAAGCACAACAATTATGAAACAAGAGATTCATCGAGACCCAACTTTTCTTCGTAAAAATAACGGTCAGCCTTGTTCCTCAAGAAGTATGCTACAGCCTATTCATAGTGTTGTGGCAAAATTTTAATATCATTTTTTCATAATTTAGGCTTCGATCCTGGCAGAGTGAACCAAGACGTATACTGCTGGCTGGATCAAGAATCTCTCTTGCATCTTCTTTTACCTCATGTCGACTGGCCCACTTCAGCCTGGATGGGAATACCTTTTGGGAAGCAAGGCGATGTGAAATTCAATGAAGCATACTCATATAATTATAGGAAAATACAGCACTTATAAGTTCTTATTTACAAACCCATTAGGCATAATATATAACTTTGAGTGTGAGATAAGAACGTAAAGATGGCCCAGCATCATCAAGTTGTAACGACCCTAGGAATGGTTGAAGTATTGACCCTCATAGAAATGTAGAACCAATAAGAACTATCACCGAGTCGACTGGTTGCATTACCTTCTCTTCGTAGATAGTTAATTAACATTTCTATTTGCATATGGTGATGAAAGGATGTCCGCTGAATTTTCATGCCAAGGCTATACGTTGCACTACCATAAACTGGGATCGAGTCCCGCTGGGGGTGTTGATGAGATCAGTTCAGGCGAGGTCGCAACTGCAGTCAAGCCCAGCCTAAATGGGAATAACTTTTTGGAAGTAAATCTATGTGAAATTCAACAGAAACATAGGCATATTCATATAATTGTGAGAAACTTCAACTGCTAAACTTGCATAACCTTAAACGAGACAGAGTGAATTCAGCCCTTACAAAAAATCGAATGGTAATCTCGAAAGCATATTTATATACAGAAAACATGAAAGTTAACACAAGCTTGAAAGTATAATTATTCTGCAGTATGAGTAAAACTCAAACGAAAATATTTGAAGGCCTCGTTATGTGAATTTTGATAGCGAAGTTATCTTTGCTAAGATTTGGAATTTCACTCGATTGCAATTTCCAATCATCATTTTCATTCGAAATGGACTAAATGTTTGGCCTTAAATGTGGCCTCCATTATAGATTTGCTAAGTTTTTGAATTGTCGAATTTAATAGCAAATATCGTTTTTTGCCAAAGTATACCATACTTAAATAATGTGTTACTTGAATGATAATAAATCTGCTTTCTGTACATTTAGGAAAAGTCAGGATTTATGCATTGAATTTGGTTGTCCCATTCCACCGTAAAACAGATTTCATTAGAGCCGAGCTGGAATTTCGAATTAGCCTGGACTTAATTAGCACCTTCAGCCGGATTGAGGAGGTGAATGTGCGTAGATTTAATGTGGTGACATGTACCAATATGGTACCGATAAGAGAGAAAATAGAAGAATTATGTCATTATAAGTCTACAAAACTGCAGAAGGTATAGGATGAAGAAAGTTCTATTTGACAAGTGAATCGGCAGAATAAAGCCTAAATAATAACTTGTGTACCCCTAGGCAGTCTAACATGATTTAAATCTAAATAGTTGAATTCCTAACATAGCAATGAGTATAACAGCCTCGAAATGTCATTGAATTTTAATCAGCCTTTCCTCGAAAAAGACTTTCGATTCATGGCTGGGTTTCGATTTAGAGCAAGGTCATGCATGTCAAGCGAAATAATATTATTCCATCATACAGCCACACCTGCCGTTGGGTGACCAGATGAATAAGTCAGGCTTCTCCCGAGGCATATTTGGTATCGATAAGGCCATCATACAA